CTAGTGACCAAGTCCCTGTCTGGCATGTTATAGATGTCCGTCTTCGACCAATTGTGGGATAGGTTTGCGAGGAGTGCGTCTCAGTCCTTGAGGTTGTACTGGGCGGAGGATGCGAGGTTGTCCCGTTGGCAACTACTGTTGTAGGTGCTGTTAGATCTTGACTGTTTCGTCGAGATCCAGGTCGGGAGGAGGATCGCCCGTGAGCAGAAGCCTCCGAATGATATTCACCTCGTCCGTCTCGGGACGTGCTGCGACGAGAGGAAGTCGTACGAGCGACATTTGATTGTTCGAAATCTCTGCGAGCGACATTCGCAAGGGCGGTGGGATTGGACTGAGGAGGGTTTTCGTGGGTTCTGGATCCAGAGCGGGTATGATTTGAGGGTCTCGTGTTTGTAGAACGCGTCCTTGATGGCTGTGAGGGCGAAGTGGCAGCATATGAAGAGGGAGGGTTGCGAGAGGTCGAGTGACTGCGCACCAGCGACGGAGACTGTTGTGATGCCGTCGTGGCCATGTTTGTCAACCGTGCTAGACGAGTCGGTTCGGTCGCCGTTCAGATTCTGCGGTTGTTTGATCGGAGACCAGATCGAGTGTTACGTTTGCGGTAGGAATTCAAGTACCCACGCCTGCCAGTATGAGGCGCACGGACGGCAGGCAACGTCTAACCCCCTTGAGCCGTTGGGCTTTGCAGCCACAAGGCTTTGTTTGGGAGGTGCTCGATTCAGTATCGGGTTTGTATCCTCGCCTATGGGTCGAAGAGCGTGTGAATCTCAAGACGACGCTCGGAGAGATCACTGTGAGGAGGAGATAGCCCGGCTAGCAGTATCATCGGGTTCTCGCATGCAGTTGAAGGCGAGCTCAACAGATAGTAAGATGAACACAGCTCTGTCAGGTCCAAGCAGATTGGGGCGGGTAGGACGGTAGAGGAAGTCGTGACGGCAGAGCAAACGAGATTGATGACCTGAGGCGAAATGATGGTGCCAATGCTGTGTTTCAAGTTGTTCAGATTCTGGAGAACGAAGTTGGGATCAGGTGGTGAAGGTTTGATTGATGGGCGCAGGCAAAGGCACGGTTCACCAGAACCTGACAAACACGCATGAGGGGATTTAATGCTTCCGCGACACCTCCAGGCTCTGCATAATAGCAGTCAACAAGGCCAACAATGGGCTCGTACCGCAGCTGCTGGTGAGTGGTCAGTTTAGACTACCTGCTTAGAGCTTCCCTTGGTGCCCCCAGTGATGTGATTAGTGGACGCGGCATTTAACCAGATGCTCGGGATCGGTGCCCGTATCAGACCTACAAGTAAACCATGGTGCCGGCTGCTAGGATCTCGACGCGTAGGCGCCCCCGTAATCGGCGGCCGTCTGACACCCAACTTTCAGCGGGCCGTCCACTCTTTTTGTCCGCCAGACAAGATAACCGTCAACGCCATCCACTTGCATCATCAGGTCCTCGGCCAAAAAGAGAGAGAAAGTGCGAACAATCGACTCCACGAGCTCGCCAGTCATAGACTGTACTTTGTTCAACGGGTTTCCGGCCTGCGGCCCCTTGGTCTGTCCCTCTTGTATATCCTCTCCTGGCCATGTAGATCAACATGGCCTACAAGCGATCTCGGCAAGCCTTCGAAGCCGATCTTCAAAAACAGTCTTCGCCCTTCGTCCTGTACGGAACACCCCTACCTCCTCTAGATGAAAATATCCGAGACGATGGGTCTTTTGTGCCAGTGTGGAAGCAGGAGGTCACAGATGAAAGAGGACGGAAACGCTTGCACGGCGCCTTCACAGGAGGCTTCAGCGCCGGGTGAGCACTCGGAGCAATGACCTCAAGGGCACAATGGCTAAAGTGGTGGATACAGATATTTTAACACCGTAGGCTCCAAGGAAGGATGGACGCCTTCTTCCTTTGTCTCGTCCCGGCAGAACCGCGCGAACCGCGCGCAGAATGTACCCCAACAGAAGCCGGAGGATTTCATGGACGAAGAAGACTTTCGTGAAGCAGAAGAGTCGCGCACACTGAATACCTCGTCAGACTTTTCAGGATTTGGCACGGAGCACGATGCGATGCGGAAGACCGCCGCTATTGACATTTTTCGGCCAGTAGATGAAACGATTGGTTCCAAATTGCTCAAGAGAATGGGTTGGCGTGAAGGCCAAGGCATCGGTCCTCGAGTACGAAGAGCAGCAAAACTCGGCGAAGAAGGAGAAGATGACGATGAACCTGCGCAGACACATCTTTTTGCCCCAGATGATGTCAAGCTAGTATCGTTCGTGCGCAAGACAGACCATAAAGGCCTGGGATATCAAGGCGAGTTGCAGGACCAAAAAGAGACAGCAAGTCAATACATCACAACGAAGCATCCCAGGCCTGGGCCCTCTGTCGAAATCTCAGATGAGGACGGAACTGCACCGCTATTCGGCCCAACGAAAAAGCCTGCACCTGCAAGAAAAAGGACTGGATTTGGTGTTGGGGTACTCAATGATGATGATTCTGATGAGGAGGACCCGTACTCTATGGGTCCTAAGATATCTTATCACAAGGTTATTGCAGGTGAAAAGACATCGAAGTCAAAATCAAAGAGTTCAGGAAGCGCTGCAAATCCTTTTGTGAAGACCAAACCAACATTTGTCTCTAAGAAACTAGCAACCTTGAAGGGAGTCCTCAGAAAGTGTCATGATGGTCGATTGCCGCCTGATGGTTTTGTTCTGGCAGATGAACTGGACTCCATGAGCTCAATGACCATAAATGATGAGAAGTATAGACCTCCTGAGGTTCCTGAAGGCTGGAAGTCCTCTATTTCGCCATCCACGGAGGCAGACACTACATCCACGTTTGTCGCAACAGCTGTGGCATCTAAGTCGTCAAATCTCACGGCCAAATCCCGAGCATCGCTGTTAGGGGAGTCACAACTTCCAGGAAAGTCGGTGTTCGACTTCTTAACACCGGCAACTCGTGATCGACTGGTCGCTGCGTCAGGTCGTCAAAACCTTCCTGCAGCAGGGAGCGAACCGCCGCCAAGTGGTTATGAGCCATCCAAATCGGTAACAGAAGACCTCCAGACAATGGTTCCTCAACTTGAACGAGATACAGCGCTTCAGGCCTTGAATCGTGCAGTTGGTGGTTGGATGCCATATGCTGAAGACGAAAACAAGAGGCTGAGGTACCGAACTTACCTCGAGATTCAAGCGGGCCTAAGGTCGAGCGATGAGCTACCTCCTCGCGCGGAAAACATGAGGCGGGATGACTGGGTTCTGGAGATGAAAGAGTTCGCGCGAGCGGCGGAGGTGTTCAAACCCATCAGCGGCTTGATGGCTAATCGTTTTACTTCTTCATCGACATTATCACAAGGTCAAGATGGTAAATCTGGCGACACGGCCGGGTCCTCGTTATTGACCAAGCCAAAGACCAAGCCAGAGGACCCTGCAGAATCAGCTGCCAAACTAGGAATGTTTGGTCCGATGACACGGTCCACTATCAACTTCTGCCCTACCAGGCTACTCTGTAAAAGGTTCAATGTCCCAATGCCCACCCATGCAGCTTCGAAGGAAGGTAGGGATAGAAGTAGCACTACCTCTCCTGCAGGAGAGCCGGGCCCTGCAGCGACGCAATTTCGGCCTTTCACATCTGCAGGGTTCCAACATGACGAAGGGTCGGAAGTCAATAAAAGACAGGCACCAGCTCTATTCAACCAACCGTCGACGCCAGCAATGGTAGGGAATGAGCCTGCCGCGCTAGACCCGGACAAAAATGAGGCGCTCGAGAAGCAAAGGCCGGGGCAGGCCGTGTTCAAAGCAATCTTTGGGAGTGATGATGAAGATGATGAGTAATGGGAAGCCAGGAATAAATCTCGGGCACCTATGCTTCCACTCGACGTCGGGAGCGACACATTCGACTGATCGCTTATGACAAGGCTGGATTTTGCAAGGGGTTCAAATTATGGCTGGCGACGAGGCTGAATTCGATCCACGAATGCTATTCCGCCCTGGCTAGCACCCACGTGATCACGAAGTCCCATGGAGTTGGCTCCCGCCAATGTGTCCGGGATACTTTGACTTGGACTCCCAAGGCACAATAGACATGCGCTAAACGACGTGTGCCATGGGATGTCGTTGCCGATGTAGGTGAGAGGGAAAATCTTCCGCATCAATCTATCGTGGCCCGTCAACATGCCCTGAACCGGCGGGATCCTCAGCTTTCTATCGTCAAACTTGAGGGCGGACGATCACTTCGACCGTCGGAAGCATGAAGGCACGGCCGAAGCCGATCGCGCCCGCCCTGCTGTGAGTTGTTCAAATATCAAAATCAAACCCGTTGTGACAAATGCCCACACCAGCTGCAATCTTTATCGTAAAATGTCCAATCCAAATCCATCCAGACAATTTTCATGGGTCTGCTGAGGGTTCGCGTCACTGCTACTATTTCGTTGTCGTGATTTATTCCTCTTCTTTCGGCCTCCTTTTGAGCGTGTCCTTCTTTCATAAATGCGATTGGCTGATGGCGAAGCAGCGTCATGGTAGTCGTTTTGTAACTTGTGAGCTGGCCAACTAATCGAGCAGATGTCGATTGGACTTACCTCTTGTGCCTGGGCAGAGGTTCCCGATGGGCCACCCATCAACAATAAGCCATGCAAAGGAGCCATTATGCTGTTCATATCGTTAATGCCCACGTTCCTATCCAGTTTCTGCGCTCCAGTCGTCTTGCTGGAAGATTCCTTGGACTTGAAGTGATTCGTTGCCTTCTGCTTGTTAGCGTTGTGTTGCGGGTTGCTGGCTTTATCTTTCAAATGCTTGTAGCCTCGTGGACCTAGAATTCGGTATGGCCCCTTGCCTTTTTGCTTGCTCTCAGTATCACAACTAGGCTGCATCGAGCGTCGAAGCCTTTCTTCCAGGTTCTATGTGAACGGCCTGCCAACCTTCCTCTGTCAGTCTTGGACAATATGGCCGATGCAGCAAGGGCAGGCGCTCGACATCTCCTGCAGCATATAGAATGAGGTTCGCGTCCAGAGGTCATCTCTGGGAGGGAAAGTTTTTTGAATCTGCGTCGTCCCTTCTTGGATGAAGAACTGACGCGTTTACTTCACTCCACCGCCGGATCTCCTCAGATGAGAGTGTGGCGTCGTGCTCGGTGCAGTGTCTCAAGCCAGCCAAGTTTCTACCCCATCGATTTTCTTGAAAGTACTTCATCATGTGCTGGTCCACCACACCGCTCAGGGCTATATTGTAGAGATTGAACATGGCATCCGAGTCATTGCGAATATCGAAAATGACTTTTGGAATGGACAGCGACTCCAATAGCATTCTAAGTGAGTTGCCTTGAAACATGGTATCGAATGCCGGGTGCGCCAAGGTAAAGACGTCGACGATAAAGGTCTCGTGCAATGGCAGGACGTGGACTTGGAGAAGATCCATAATCCCAAATCGTCCCAGGTTGAAACCCTCTGCGTCGATGTAGAAGGATGGAGGGTCATTGGAGATGCCCTGGATCTCACTGACGAAAACCTCGAGGGCATCCTTGTTGTCAATTAAGTAACAAGCCCCGTTAAGAGGGTGAGGCATCTCGAGGCAATCCAGACTGAACCCAAATGGTCGATCCTCGGGCTGGTTGGGTCACCAGACGGAAGTTCTGGAAACCTGGGGTAAATACAGTGGGCCGAGAAGGTTATTATTAGCATCGAATTGGTTTGACAGGCTAGTGAGCCTGGTGAGGCCGTGAGGCAGTGAGGCTCGACTTCTATGATCCACTGGCAGGCCACATTACCACTTCACTTCACCTGATCGCAATTGAATACTCTGTACTCTGTTCTCTATACATTCTCCAGCCGTTTTTCCTTTGACTCGCTCACTCACTCACTCTAGTCATTCTTTTCTGTTTTCCCTTTTTGTTCTCGACCATGGCGCGTCGCAAGCAAATCACCCCAATGCGGCGCATCAACTCTGGAGAAGTCATGCAGGCTCCTTCAGATACTCCCGAAAAACGCGCCGTCTACGGCAACGGCCATGTCACCTCCTCTTCTAGAAAGCCGACCTCGCCCTTCCAACAACGGCCACAAACACAGCGGTCGCATCCAGGGCTCCTAACCCTCCTCGTCTGCGTCGGCGGTATCTACGCCTCGTTTCTGACATGGGGGGTTCTTCAAGAACGCATCACCACTACGCCATACCCACTCCCTTCCCCTTCCGCAGCGCAGGTGCAACAAGAGTACTTCCGCTTTCCTATTGTCCTCAACACAATCCAAGCGTTCTTCGCCTTCACAAGCGGAAGCGTCTACCTCTTCTACACGACCGGACGTTTCAACATTCTGCCCTCGACCTCCTCTCTGCTGCCGTTGATGCTGGTCACCGTGACCACTACCCTCGCTTCTCCCTTCGGCTACGCATCCCTCGCCCACGTCGACTACCTCACGTTTGTACTGGCAAAATCGTGCAAATTACTGCCCGTCATGGCGTTGCACGTTGCGTTGTTCCGCAAACGATACTCGCTGTCGAAATACATGATTGTGCTGGCTGTGACCAGCGGGGTCGCAATATTCACGCTATACCACCCGCCGAAGGCGGGAAAAACACAAAAGACACAGAACTCGAGTCTCTACGGCCTGACGCTGTTGGGGATTAACTTGTTGTTTGACGGGTTGACCAACACGGTTCAAGACCACATCTTCCAGTCCCCGCGCCGCTACGGGAAGACATCCGGTCCGCAGATGATGGTCATCCTCAACCTTCTCGGCACGATCCTGATGAGCGCATACCTCGTTGCAACACCGTACATCCCCTCAGCGCTCCTCCCCCAGTTTGTGCGGACCGACACCCACGAGCTGGGCCAAGCCATCTCCTTCTTCCAGCGCCACCCGCCCGTGCTCAAGGACGTGCTGCTCTTCTGCCTCTGCGGCGCCGTTGGCCAGCTCTTCATCTACGCCACTCTGGAGCGGTTCTCGTCTCTACTCCTCGTCACGGTGACAGTGACGAGGAAAATGTTCACCATGCTGTTGAGCGTCATGTGGTTCGGCCACTCGCTGAGCAAGGGCCAGTGGATGGGCATCGGCATGGTCTTTGGCGGCATTGCCGCAGAGGCATATATCCAGAATCTAGAGAAGAAGGAGAGAGATAGGAGGAAGAAATCAGCGGACAAGGGACGATAGAGTGGGGGGATAAATTGAAAATTAACAAGATAAAAATGGATTCCATTCAACAGTGGAAGCGGACGAATTTACCACTGGGAAATAAAAACGGAACAGACAAAAGAGAGAACCAATCTATCGATGTAAATGCACATAGATCCCATTCTGAAAATCTGAAACATTCTGAACCGCCCGCGCCCTCTCCATGGTTCACATCATGCGCGCAAAGAACTATGAATTCAACTCCCCCCAAAAAAGATCCGCCAGCGTTGATAGGTATTCTCGGAACCCCAAAGACGGGTGTATGGAAAAGCCGGCCGTCCAAACAATCACGCTTGAATCCTTGTCTCAAACCGCAGCGCTAGCCCTCCATGCAAAGCACTTTCTTATGTAGTCGATTCCTTGTCACCCTGTCTTAACGCCCCTCATCCTCGTCCTCGCGACACGACAGCCCGCGCGTTAATGACCGTTCGCATTCAAGGCACTCAAATTCAACCGCGCCGTTGCCCTTACATCCGGTCCCAGCCTCACTGTTGGTGGCATCGCCTCATCTGCATCGTCGGGCATTTCGTCGTCTGGAGGAGGCACGGCCATCCGCGTCACGGTGTCCAAATCCGCCAAAGCAAGTTGCACAGCGGGCACACCGGCTCCCAGCTCGGCCACTCCCACACTCACCGCCGCGGTGTACTGCATCATAGCCGTCTCCACGTTTCCCCGCATGACATGTAACCGTCCCAATGTCCTCAAACAGCCCATCCTCGAATGCACCGCTTCTACCAGCCCAGCGGCTTGGTGCTCTGAGGACTTTCCAATAGTCAATGTGCGGCGTAGAGCATCAGAAATGAGCGATTCCGTGTCGTTGGAGGTGTCATCTGACGCGAGATGGACTTTGGTGAGTTCGAGAAGGCCAGTCACCGGCATGAGGCTGTTCGTGCCATAGGTATTCTCCCAGATGGGAATAATCTGCGAAAGGATGCGAGCTGCTTCATCTAGGTGTCCCAACTGAGTGAGCACACGCGCGAAATAGTAGTACTGCCCCGTTGTTTCAGAGGAAGTGGCGCTGAAAAGGTGCTCGTGCAGCTCGTGGATTTTCCGCTGGATCAGTTCGCGGAGGCGGAGACGCTGGTCGGCGTTCTTGAGGCTTAGGTGGAGAAGGGTTGTGATCGGGTGAGAAGAGCCGAGGATTGTGAGAGATGCGGCGGCGGCGAACCTTGATACTTGGCTGCGTAGTCGACCTAGTTCAGTGCTGGAGGCGTCAAGGCTGAATTCAGCGAGGACGTAGTAGAGTTTGGGGTGCTGCAAGATCAAGAGGTCCGAGAGGGTGGGAAGGACGCGGCTCAGGATTGCAGAGGCCGAGTCGATTCGTCCCACTGCCATAAGTCCTGCTGCCGTAGTGATGGAGCCGCTGAAGTTCTCAACGCTCACCGTGGCGGAAGAATTGTAGCTGTCACGGAGTTGTCCGCACCATGAAGACTCGAATTTGCTCGTGTAGAAAGTGCTGGCTTGTAAGAGGATCTGCTCGATTTGTGAGTCTTCCTTGGACAGAGTCATGACGGCGGATGGCGCCATACCGATGCGCCATGATGCGTTTGAGGAACCTGCCAGGGCAGCGGGTTTGCGGCGTTTTGAAATGTTGGCTTGTAGGGCTGTTCTAGCTGGTGGAGGCGATGTTTTTCGAGGATTTCGCGGTGAATGTGCTCGAGCTTCGCTCAATGCGTGCTTGAGTTCCGCGTGATCTATGTTGCTGCCGAAATAGTCACAACGACCTTCGTCGGTGTCTCGCCCTGGGGTCGAGGCCAGCAGTTCCAGCCTATGCCTCTCTTCTTCCTCGGCCGAGTGATTGACCAGATCCCAGATGGTGACCTTCCGTGTGGGAATGGCATCTTCGTTCGTTGAACTTGCCTCCTTCAGGGACGACGTAACGGGGGAGACTGGTTGATAGGTACTGACCCGTTCATTCTTGGGGGCAGACGAGGAAGCGACGGCAAATCCTGCAGCGGCAGAAGGATAATTCACGTGAAAGCGATTGCTCGCATCGCCCTGATTGTTAGGAAGCTTCTCGGCTGTTTCGTCAACCTTGGAAGAAGGGTGGACGGCTCTAAAGGCCTTTGCAGACCCTCGATGACCTGGTCTAGGCAGAGAGCTCGAGCGAGCTCTAGCGCTGTTCTCAGCTTTCACCCCGGAATTCTGCCCCGCATGCCGACGAATCTGTGTGATGTTCTTCTTGCTGCGTGGGTCGCCAGTAATCCAGGTAAAAGACTTGGGTGCCCCGTCCTCCCTGGGAGGCATTTGTCGGTAACACCTCGAAACCACGAGACGCACACATCCGACCCAGCTTTTGAGCTCGTCGAAAGGCGGGATTTGGCTAAGTAAAGGCGACAAAAGCTAGTCTGGGCCAGAGTGTGAGTCTCGGGGAGGAGTAGGGCCTTTTTGTTTAGTCGGATAGCTCGGTCTCAAATAGCAGCTGCATTTGCCGGAGAGCTCGAGCGTCAACGAAGGCTTTCTTCTTCGAAAACCTTACTCAGAACAGATGACTCGGAGACATTTTGAACACGGAGACTTCCAGCTCACCTTCATTTCGCCCTTGGAGCCTAGCTTGTCAGGCTCATCAGCCAGCAGGTTTTGGTGATAGCCCAGATCCAGTTTGGACTCGGATCATCCTGCTGAATAATTTGTGACTAACCGGCCCACCCGCCTTGGCTCTCCTGATACCTCATTTACAACGTCGGCACCGCCAATTTCGCTTCCGGGAATGAAAATCTTTACGTACAGCGCATTTCTTGCTCAAAAAGGGCGGGCCTCGACCCTGAGATCGAGAAGAGAGACTCTCGTGTGATGCTGGCGGAGATCACACCACTTCCCGACTGGAGGGATGCGGTTACCATAAGCTGAAACTCTCGGCCGGATCAGGGCAAGTTGGACGAGGCTCTGGATCTCGATGGATCTGACTCGCCGCCGGGAAAGCGGGAGAGTGGGGTGCCAGGCTGGCCAGGTCTATCATTGGTCTTCTCGAACAACCCATTTGCTACAAGTACAGTAGGAGGTGGAATCAAGGCCGCGTCCAAGGCTTAGCCCCCTAGAGCACCTACTCTTTTAGGAATGTTGGTGATTCTGCACCTGCATCGTCCGGCTGAATATTTCCACCCTGCAATGGCCATTCATTGGACTTGGGCGCCTGCTTTGACGGGATATTCTTGAGATGAAAGCCCTTGCCACCTGGCTGGCGGCGGCCCGTGACCACCGTATACCGTGTACAAGTACCGTATAACAAGTAGGTATGCCCACACGACCTCGTGCAGTCTTGTGCATCCCGGTGCACTGAAGTCTTGGGTCCACATGGATCGGTCAAAGTTTTGTCCTCGTCAGTTTAGGCTGCAGATGGTTGCATGCAACTGGCACTGGTCCACTGGAAGGGGGCCCGACTGTGCTATGCAAGCCGAG